TAGCCTTGGAAACCACATGGGATAGTTCTACTCTGTTCTTTGGTTTATCTTGGTTAAGGGCATGGGCTTTTGAGAGCCTGACCTAGGTGGGAAGCTTGGTTCTTTCTTTTTACCAGCTGTGCTATCTTGGGAAAGTTATTAACTTCTCTGAGCCTCAATTTCCTCCTCTGCCAAGTGAGGCTAACACCACCTTATCTCACAGGGTTGTTGTGAGGATTAATGTCACCAGTATTTGTGCAATACTTAGAGCAGGGCCTGGCATTATAGGAACACGTAAAGGTTAGTGCTCTCACTTCCTCCTTTATTCATTGACTTATCATTGTTCACCATATTCAACAAATATTTAAGTGCTACCAAATGCTAACCACTGTTCTAAGAACTTCTTTATTGTTTATTTCTTTTTGTGGTTTCAACAACTGTCCCTGTTGGAAGTCCCTCCTGGGGACTGACCTTTCCCCCTTCTGCCTTTCTTTTCTTATCATTTCATCATCTTTAGAGGCCAAGACTCTTTGTTTAGTGGAGATAACATCTGCACCGCCCCCAGGAAGTGGGATGGAGTCAGTTGGGGGGTGGTAGTAGTGTAGGGATCTCGTCTTGCCAGGGTGTCAGGAGTGAAGACAGCCCCAAGATTCCTGAGCAGCGGGATGGTGGCCACGTCTTTCTGATGAGCCGTGGGGTCTTGGTGTAAGGCTGGGGGACATGCAAAAACACCTGGGTCTTACCTTCTGTGACTCGGGCCCTGGGAGACCCCTCAGAGCTAGGGCCAGCCTTGGGAGTGAGTCATTTCCAAGGATCCCAGCTCTGACTGATCAGGTACCATATAGGGCCCCACCTGAGGACAAACAAATAAGCTGCTTCCCTGAGGCCTGAGACAGGAGTCTGTGGGAATCATGTTGCTCAGAATCAAGGAATCTTGAAGGCTCAGCCAAGCCCAGCCTGGGTGTGGCCAGAGAGAGGAGTGGCAGCTTTATGGGCCGCTTTCCCCAGCATGTGTATCCCTCAGCTTTGGAGAGTAAGAGCTGTTTCTGAACTTTGCACTACAGTCAGCGGGCCCCTCCAGAGGAAGGGAGGGCTGAAAACCCAGCCTCAGATCAAAGCCAGCAGAAGATGGAGTTCCTAAGTCTAAATAAGGGAAGGGTGGGATATCAGAGCTTGGCTCATAAAGGCCATCAGTGTGTGTGTGGGGAATGAACAAATGGATGATCAGTCCAAAAATACAGAGCTCACAGGAGTTCTATGAAGCACCCCCCCCCCCCCGAAAAAAAAACCCATACCCACTGTCATCAAGTTGATTCCAACTCATAGTGACTCCCACTGGGTTTCCCAAGCAGCAAATCTTCCACAGAGCAGCTGTGGGTTTGAACTGCCAACCTTCTGGTTAGCAGCCAAATGCTTTAGGTGCTGCACCACCACAATGCCTTTATGAAGGTCCAGGGGAATCTTAAATTCATGGTCAAGGCCATGGAGAGAGAACTTTGACCAGGCCCATCTCTGTCTCCTTTGAGGCAGAGCAGAGATGTGTCTGAGGAAGGAGGAAGTGAGATTTCCACCAAGAAGAGCTGTCTCTTTGGTCACAATTGGGATGTTCTGGAAGGCTCCCTTCCAAAGGCAGTTCTTTCCCTGTGGGTGATGGGCAGGTATTCACTTCCCCTTGCTCAAGAGATGGGCAGATTGCTCTTGGGGGGCTCAAGACGTGCTCCTCCCTTGGTGCTCTTTCTTGTCAAGGTGGAGATTTGGCAACTCCCCAGAGTGAAGCAGGCTGCTGAGAGTTGATGTTTACGTATGTTCATCCCCCATGTATGGTACTTGTTGTGTGCCAGACACCATGCTGGATACTAGAGAGAAAGATGCCCTGTCCTTCCTCCAGGACTTCTTCAGTTTCTTTTTACCACTGTCCTTCATTCACCCATCTTTTTCTTTTTCTTTTTTTTTTTTTTAAAGCAAAACTTAAGATCCGTGTATTTATGACCTGTAAACTATACCCCAATTTAAAAAGCATCCCCTGAATCCATATTTTTCTCTAGCTAACGCCCCATTTTATTTGATTTTCTTCTCAAAATGGTTGTTGGTAGTTGCTAATTCCACTTTCCTGGTTCCCATCTCTCCTCCCGAAGTAGTCAGGCGTATGGCCCACCCATGGAAGCTGCTCTTCGCAGGTGACCAGGGACCTGTGTGCTGTTAAATTCATGCTCACTGCTCTGTCCTAGTCTTCTTTGCTGTCACAGCATTTGACAGAGGACCTCACTCCTTTCCCCATGTCAATACCCTTCCTCGCTTTTCCTCCAATCTCTCTGGCTGCAGCACCTCGATCTCCTTTGGTCCTCACTGGTTTCTTCTCCTCATTCTGAACTTTCCAGAAACAGAACTGATTTCCCTCTCCCCATTGCTGTCGTTGGATGGCTCAAATGGTTTGCTCTCAGCTACCAGCTGAAAAGTGGACGGTTTGAACCCCCCCAGCAGTGCCACCAAAGAAAGCCCTCGTGATCTACTTCCATAAAGATTATAGCCAAGAAAACTATATGGGGGCAGTTCTACTCTGTAACACATGGGACCACCATGAGTCAGCATTGACTCAATGGCAAGGTCTGGTTTTTCATTTGTACTATCCTCCTGACATCACACTAAACTTCCTCTCCTGATCTTCCCCATCTTACTAATAGTAGCACAAAGAATTTCTCAGGCCAACAATCTGGGAGTCTTCCTTGATCCTTCTTTTTGCCTCAACTCTCCCTCCTCTCTACCCCATATTGAATCCATCAGCAAATCCTGCTGGCTTTACCTTCAAAATATGTCTCACATCCACCACTTTTCCCCATCCTCAGTTGTAGCCACCATAGCTCTTGCCTGGACCGTTGCAGGAGCCTCTTGACAGGTCTTCCTCCTCCTCTCAATTTTTTTCTCACACAGAAGCCAGAAAGATCTTAAAAATATAAATGCAGTCCTGTCATTCCTCTGTGTAAAACTTTCCAATGTCTCTCCAGTTCACTCAGAATAAAATCCACATCCTTTACTTGCTCTCTGGAGCCCTCTGCTTGGGCCTTCCCTTACTGTCCAGCCTCACTGCTGGCCAATCTCCCCTCACGGTGGCTTACTCTCTTTCCCTGGATACGCCAGCTCAGCTTGCTCACACCCAGAGCTTTGTACTCACTGTTCCCTCCTCCTTCTGGAGCACCCTGCTGCCAGATCCAGCTCTGTCGACTCCTTCTCATGAACCAGGTCTACTCAGGAAGGCCTTCCCCCTCCCAGTCATCTTTCACATCATCTCTGACCTTGTTCCATTGTCTTTGTTATTTGAAGTCATTTTGTTCATGTGTTTGTTTCCTGGCTCCTTGTCTGACTCTCTCTTTACACCGGATATGTGCTCTGTGAAGGAAGAAACCCTGTTGGTCTTGTTTGCCACTGTATTCCAGCCCCTGGACTCGTGCTTGGCACATAGTAGGTGCTCACACAATATTTGTTTAATGAATGTTGGGTGAACAAAGGTGATTCTGGACCTAGAAAAAAAAATCAAGGTCACTGTGGAGTTTTTCCTCATTTTAGGAAGGAAAAGTAAGGAAGAGAAAAGAAAGTAACTTGCCTAAGGTCAGGGTGAGGAAAAATCAAATTCACAAAAGTCTTATAAAAGATTCCATGGGGGAATCTTCAGGAAGCTCCACAGATACATTTTATGTGCAATTCAATTTATGAAACTTGTATTTTTATATGTGTTTTATACATGCTATTTTTATATAATTTTTAATAAAGTTATATAATATAAAATGCTATAGAATTTTATACACACACACACACACACACACACTATATTGTTGTTGTTATGTGCTGTGGAGTCAGACCTGACTCATAGCAACCTCTCCTTGGGTTTTCGAGGCAGTATCGCTATGGAAGTAGATTGCCCAACCTTTCTTCCGAGGAGTGGCTGGTGGGTTTGAACCACCAGCCCTCTGATTAGCAGTCCAGTGCCTTAGGCACTATGCTACCAGAGTTCCTATATACTATATGTTGTTGTTGTTATGTACCCTTGAGTCAGACTCGACGCATAGAGACCCCTCCTTGGGTTTCCGAGGCAGTATCACTACAGAAGTAGATTGCCCCATCTTCCTTCTGAGGAGTTGCTGGTGGGTTTGAACCACCAGCCCTCTGATTAGCAGTCCAGTGCCTTAGGCACTATGCTACGAGAGCTCCCTTATACACACTATAAATAAATAAATAAGTAAATAAGTAAATAAATAAAGTGTGTGTATATATGTGTGTGTGTGTCTATATAAATATATATGTGTGTGGGTATATATATATGTGTGTGTGTGTGTATATATATATGTTTTATATATACTATTTTTATACAGTTTTTCTCTGAAATGGCACTCTAAATCAAGGCATGGTTACATGGTGAGTCCCTTTAGGCTGGGTGGTGGGAAAGGAGGGGGGAACAGAGAGTAGAGAATTCAGCACCTGATGGTGGCAATGGGAGTAACTGCAGTAACTGGGAGAGAAGGGACTATTTTGAGAATCTCCCAGTGTGGGCCCTAGTCAGAGTGAGGCTCTGTACAAGGGTCACCCAACTGATGGTCACAGCTTGCTACTCTGCTGTTCAAATCCTCTCTCACCTCATTCTGAAGTACAGCCTCTCCACCCCTCACAAACTCAGTGCCTTCTGACCCCTTCTGATCCTGTAGACTTAGTTAGTCCAGCCCCCTGCCTGGACTGTTAGTTTCTCTCCACTCATTCCTGTTGAAATCCTGCTCATCTGCTGAGATCCAGTGCAGGTTCAGTCTCTTCCAGGAGCCCTTCCTGCTAATCTTGGCCCAGAATTGTCCTCTCTGCAGAGCAATTGCTGCACCCTGGTTGCTATTGGTGTGCATGCCTCTTTCTCACTAGACTGCAGGTATCTTAGGGCAGGGAGCCTGCCTTATTCTGTGAATGTCCATGGTTGCTGACCTGGTTGCTGGCCCATTGCATTTGCTCTTTGGTTGGATTAGGAGGTTGGGTGGATGGAAGACAAGATGGGCTGGTAAGCAGGTGGATAAGTAGGCATGGGTGGATGGAAATTGGTAGGAAAATAGGAGGGTGGCTCGGTGATGAGTGCTTGGCTTGATAGGTGGCTGGCTGGAAAAATGGGTGACTGAAGGAGTTGGTGGGTAGTTGGTCTCAGGAGTGAAGGATGACTGGGGATAGGACCCAGAAGTAGGTGTGCAGAGTTCCCTTGCTCTACAATTGGTGAAAACTTGTTCTATAAGGTGAAGGAAATTCAGAGTGAAGGGAAGATGATATTAGAGTCCTTTTAGGTATAATTGCTCTTCTTTGTGAGTCTCCTCCTCCTAAAAGCTAAGAAATTACATGGGGAATTGAGTAACTCTAATGAAGTTTCTCTGTGATTGTCTATTGAGAGAGATTATCTAAGAATCTCAAGGCCAAAAGGGGAGAAATTCATCTACCTGCTTCAAGCAGAACAAGCCCATCCACCCACATTCTTAGTCATCTCCAGACAGGGAGGCCCTGTGTTCCCACTCATCAATGCAGTCAAATCTGGAGTAAAGTCCAAGCCACTGGTTCTCAACTGGGGCAATTGTGTCCCCATCTCCCCACTTAAGGAACACTGGGCAATGTCCAAAAACATTTTTGATTGTCATGATTGGGTCATGCTACTGACATCTACTGGGTAGAGGCCAGGAACACTGTTCAACATCACACACCGCACAGGACCAAACCCAAACCCATTGCCGTTGAATCGATTCCAACTCGTAGTGACCCTATGGGACAGAGTAGAACTGCCCCATAGGGTTTCCAAGGCTGTAAATCTTTATGGCAGCAGATTGCCTCATCTTTCTCCTATGGAGTGGCTGGTGGGTTCAAACCAAACTTTCAGTTAGCTGTCAAGGGCTTAACCACTGTGCCACCAGGGCTCCAATGCACAGGACAGTTCCCTACAAAAAAGCGTCAGTAGTGCTGAGATGGAAATGCTCATCTAACCCACATCTTTGCAGCTCTAATGGAAATTGAATAAAAATATCATGGAGGTATAATTTAAGCCATAATTGAAAATTTAAGCTTTCTAGTAATGTTGCAAAAAGTAAAAACAAACAGGCAAAATCAATTTTAATATATTTTGTTTACCCCAATATAGCCAAAATATTATGTAAAACATTATCATTTAACATGTAATCAGTATAAACAGTTATTAAAGAGATACTATACATTCAGTTCTTCATTAAGTCTGCAGTATGGTAGTGTGTTTTACACTTACAGCGGGCCTCAGTTCAGACTAGCCACATTACAGCTGTCTGTGCACAGAGCTGGCCAGGGGGTATCTTGTCTATTCTTCCTGACCCATAGAAGCCCTGTGTGGGAGGGGATGCTCAGCCTTCCCTGGCTGCACTGACGCCCCCTCCGTCCACAGCCTGGCCAGGCAGAGGAGTCTAGAGGACGAGGAGGAGCAGCAGCGGGAGCGCCGGCGGCGGCATCGCAACCTGAGCTCCACTACCGACGATGATGCTCCCAAATTCACCCAGAACGGAAACCAGCTGCCTGCAGAGAGGTGCTGGGGTCAGGGCGGTGGGGGTCAGTGTGTTGTGCCCCTATCTCAGGCCATGGCGATTGACTCAGCAGCCCCAATACACCAAGTGTAATATATTTGACCTGCCCAGGGTATGGAGACCCTGGTAATGAGGCTGAAGGGTATGAAGATGAAACTCAAGTTCCTCACCTTCCCCAGGGCCCTCCTCAGACCTGCCAGATTCCACCTGCCTCATTGCAACAAATGCTTATACCGTTTATTTAGCCCTGCCATGAGCCGTACTTTGCTAGTACATTTTATGGACATAGCTCACTTAATCCTCACAGTATCTCTAACAGAGAGGTATTACCAACCCATTTTACAGATGGAGAAACTGGGTCAAAGAGCACTAAGGTGATGTAGTATGATCATCTGGTTAAAGAGTGGCAGGGCCAGGCTTTTTGTCCAGATGTGTCAGGCTCTGTGGCTAAACTATTTATACAACTATTTATACAGACTGCCTCACCCTGACTCTCCCATTCCATAATCAGCATCTGTGAGGAAGAAGGGGGGGCGGTTAGTCTTGCCACCTAGACTTTAGGGTTAGAAGGAAAGGAAGAAGAAGGCCTGGAATTTACTGAATGCCACCTATGTGTCAGGACTGTGGTAGGCCATCTCACGGGATGACTCTCATTTCATCCTCCTAACAAGCCCAGTTTGCCGATGTGGAAATGGAGGCTCAGTGAGGTAACTTGCCTGAAATCACACTCATGTCTGTGTGAATTCCCAGTTAGTCCTCTTACCTCTGCAGAAGTAAAAGGAGGGTTAAGAGGGTGATGAAAAGAATGACAAGAGCTGTAGGTTTTGGACAACCCTCTCACATTGCTCTTGCTCCCTTGGGTGCCCCAGAAGGGAGGACAGGATCTGAGCCTTGGGCTGCACCAATACCTGTGGCTGCCACCTAGTCTTGGCTGCACCCAGGTGATTGATAAAGGTACTGGGTGGTAATTGGAAGTCTTGGGTTTTATTGTCACTCTACCGCTAATTAGCTATGTGGCCTTTGCCAACTTCCTGAATCTCTCTGATTTTAATCCAAGTTCTAAAGGGCAGTGATTGTGCTTATTCCTTTGACCTCACAATGTCTACACAGGGCCTGGCACATTAAAAAGTAGGTAGGTGCTCAATCAATGTTTTTTGATTGAGACTAAACATGGAATGATTGGACCTTGTAGGGGTTTAGAGATGTTTTTTGAAAACATGGAGTACTTTGTTCAAATACCATCTTTGAAGTCTAATATGCAGAGAAGATAGAAGGGATCCAGGGCCCTATTCTCTCCCTCCCTCCCTGGTGGCCCTGGAGGCATCTCCATTGAATCAGGTATACCCCAGGGTCCTTTCCATGTCTGATACCGCTGATTCTGTCTCCCACTCTTCTGACTCAGACTGCCCAGTGTGGAGGAAGCAGAGGCCCCAGAACCATCCTCCCAAGCCTCCAAAGATGAGGATGAGGACTTCCAGGCCATTCTCAGGACACGGCACGAGCGGCGGCAGAGGCGGCAGGTGTTGGAGGCTACACAGTTTCCCATCCAGGACAGGCCGAAGGCAGAGGAGGGCAGAGACAGCTCGGGTCCTGGGTGGTCAGAGCAGCAATCTCCAGTGCCCCAGAAGGATTTGGATGCTCCGCCTCGCCGAAGATTGAGCCAGGAGCAGCGGGGCCCCTGGGCCAGGGAGGAGGAGAGCTCGGTGGGCAGAGAGCCAGGAGAAGGGAAGAAGGGGGTCCCAGAGAAGGCCTTGGCTCCAGAGAAGACCCCAGTTTCAGAGAAAACCTCTGTTACAGAGAAGATGTTCACATTTGAGAAGAGGTCAGTCTCAGAGAAAACCTCCACCTCAGAGAAGGCACCCACCCCTGAGAAAATAGCAGTGTCAGGAAAGGCAACAGGATCAGAGAAAAGATCCATCTCAGAGAAGAGACTGCTTCCAGAAAGAACAAGTGTCTCAGAGAAGACACCCACTCCTGAGAAAACCTCCATGTCAGAGAAGAGATTCATCTCAGAGAGGAAATCAATTCCAGAAAAAACAAGTCCCTCAGAGAAGACATTGAAATCATCAGGCTCAGAAAGGAGACTGGTGTCTGAGAAAGCTTCCATCTTTGAGAAGTCGCTGGTCTCAGAGAAGACCCCAGCCACAGAGACAAAGCTGACCCTTAAGAGGGCAGTAGTGTCTGAGCAGCCCCAGGCCGGGGGGCAGCTGTCTTCTGACGTGGCCCAGCCTGCCACCATGGAGCAGAGAAGAAGGACACTCTCTGAAAAGAGCCCCCCTCCCTCTGCAGAGCCAACAGAGCAGAGGGAGTCAGACTCTGTAACTGTGGCTTCCCGCCTCCCGTCCTTCACACTCCAGGTTGGCAGTTCTCTTGTCCCTCTCACCCTCATACCCTCCCTAGCCTTTCCCTCTAGTCCTACCCAGATGATCTCTGGCTCCCTGGCACCTCCTGCCCTCCTGACTTCAGGCTGGCCTTAGCAGTTTCTTCTCTCCCTTTCTGCTTCCTGCCACTGTCAGGATAGGAGGCCCTGAGACAGGCTCTGTGGCAGGGAGTACCTGATACCTAGTGCCACATCTGCATCTAGGGCCTGGACTCCAAAACCCCAGTAGATTTTTGGGAAGCCTCAGATCCTTCCAGAAGCTCCTCTGGAACGTGCTGTCTTGTAGCTTGGCCCCGTAGGACGGTGTCTCCACCCCCACAGCAGAGGCAAAAGGGAAGGAGGCAAGAGAGGGAGCTCACTCACACTTCCTCCTGCAGCTCTTGCAGTGAACCAAGCCATGTGGGGTCCCTATGGCTAACTTGGGCTCCAGGGTTGCTGGAGCCTGATGAGACCCCTAACCTCCTGTGATGTTTCCCCTGCTCCATCCAGGTGAAAATCCCTAGCAAAGAGGAAGAAGCAGACACAACCTCATCCACCCAGATCACCTACAGCAGCTCCCTCAAACGCTCCAGCCCCAGGACCATCTCCTTTCGGGTGAGAGCCCAAGATCCCCTTTCCGATCCCTTGAGGGAAAGCCAAGGAAACCAGCATCCATTATGACATACGGATGGCCAAGAACAGAAAAACTCAAAACCCACTGCTGTTGAGTCAATTTGGACTCACAGTGACCCTACAGGACAGGGTTGTTGTTGTTGTTGTTATGTGCCATCGAGTCAGCCCCAACTCATAGAACTGTCTTATAGGGTTTCCAAGGCTGTACATCTCTATGGAAATAGACTGCCACACCTTTCTTCCACTGACCTTTTTATTAGTAGCCAAGGACTTCAGTCACTGTGCTACCAGGGCTTTCCTAAAGAATAGAAAAGTTGGATTAAATAAAAGAGGTTAATGACCCAGATTGGAAGGAAGGTTGGGCAATCTATTTCCATAGAGATCTCCGAAACCCAAGGAGAGGTCTCTGAGTCAGAGCCAACAGGAAGGCAGTGAGTCGT